TTTTCAACACAAATTTTCAAACACAAGTTGTAATTGAACTAGAAAATAGAAAATTAACCTAAATAAGGTAAAATAAACACATAAATTAAATTCAACAATAATAATTAACAATCGAAGAAGAAAATTGGAATAAAACAAAAAAAAGAAACATAAAATAACTTCATCAATAATAAATTTATCAACAATCAACAATCAAATTTTACAAAAAAGAAAAATCAAAAAGCATTTTATTAACAGAAAATAAAATTAAACAAAAACCGGAAAACCTAAATGAAAATAGAATATTCCAAAACAAAAAAGTTCAAATGTATACCTAGAAACAGAATTGGGCTTAACAGGAACATTATCATCGGAAGATAACGGAGGAAGAGTCGCATTCTTCGACCTCATCGTTGTTGATTTGTGACGATAATAAGTACAGCTAAAATCTTTCATAAAAGAGCAAAAATCAAGAAAAAGAAAGGGAAACAAAGATGACGAAGAGTAAGTAAGAATGTAGAGAAGCAAAAACGAAGTACGAGTGAAGAAGAAGAAGAAGAAGAAGAAGAAGAAGAAGAAGAAGAAGAAGAAGAAGAAGAAGAAGAAGAAGAAGAAGAAGAAGAAGAAGAAGAAGAAGAAGAATGGAGGAAACTTGAACTTGAAGATGAACAAATGGCGGTTTATTTTGGAAAATGAAAATAAAAAGGAAGAATAAACGTTGAGGGAGTTTGTTGGGTTGGAGTAATAGGTGAGCCATTGTTGGGCTGAACATATTTCTTTTGAAAAGAGGTCGGGCCAACAAAATTGCCTTAAAAAAGAAGCCGAGCCAACAAATCCGCTAAATTGACGAAACGTTTGGTCAGGCTTAACTTACCCAATAGTTTGTAAATAATAAAACTCAAAATTTATTTTGTTAAATTATGAAACATAGGGAGTTAAATAACAATAAAATTGATAGAGCTAGTATAACGTTGATAAAGTTTACGGCTTGACTTTTTACCAAATCAAAAGATCTAATGTCCCCTGTGTTATGTCACTTCAAAGTCTAATGTCCCCTGTGTTGTGTTTGCCTGCCTTCTTTGACAAAATTACCAACATATTTCCTTGACAAGTGGCACCCTATGCCTTTGGTCGCAATTTGTGTAGTGTGTCATTTTGCTTTATCATAATAGTGACAACGTGCATTTTCTAAATTATACTACTACAAAATACTTGTAAGTATTTTTTAAACGTGTACATAGTACTGAATACTGATACCATACTATTCAGGATGAAGTTAGGACAGAACATGCCCCGGTCATTGATCTGGGCGGGTCCGTCTTGGTCATAAATAAGGTGAACTATAAGTAGATTGCCAAAAATTATTAACAGTTTGGGTCACGATCAAAGTTCGTGTCAAGGTTAGAGCCAGACTAATGCGGGTCATAAATATAAATAAATAAATAAACATAAAAAAAAAAAAAAATTGGCAATAAAAGATAACGTTACATAAGTATATACTTATTTCCCTAGCTTTACCTTTAACTTCATAGTCTGTTTTATGGTGGCTGGCCACACGTGTGACTGCTTGTAAAAGAACAAAGTAACCCCTATAACACTGACCGAGTAGCCCCTGTAATACTGATCGAGTAACCCCTTTAACACTGATCGGGTAACCTCTATAACACTGACGAAGAAACTCTTGTAACATTGAACAATTAACTCCTATAACATTAATGAAATAACCCCCATAATGACTGACCACACCGTGTGGTCAGCCATATATAAGAATTTGCGTTAACTTCATTCTTTCTTTTCATTAACAATATTATTGTCTCATCCTTATCCTGTTATCCAAGCTATTCTGCTCCTTACACCACCTTGTACATCCTATGTGTTACTTTGGTGGGACAAGAGGGAATTTCGTATCCGTAACCCCTCTTTCTATCCGCATCCCTAAACAAAAATAATAATATTTCTCTAAATCCCATCTTTGTCACCATCCCTACCTCATTATTCCAAATATCAAACAAACACCCCCATATGGCGTTTAAGCTTAATTAATTCCACATTCATAAGTCATAACCATTAATCAATTTCCAAAAATTCATGGAGTGATGGAGGAAATATTATACTAGTATATACTACAAATGAAATGCATTCTTTACTCCGTTTGAACTTCACGAGTCTTTGGTGGGGAGTGCAAAAAATCAAATAAAGGAAAAGTAGATTTAAAAGAAAATAGAAAAAATACACCTCAAAACAAAAAATGGTTCAGTAGAAATCAATAGATCTTAGCTGCACCACGCCTTATAAAATAAACATTTATTTAAAAAATATATGAGCACGTAAAAAAAATGAACATTCAGTAATAAAAAGAATATTTAGTACTCCGTACTAAAAAGTGAAAATGTTTAAAAAATGATCATTTAGTAACGTATATTAAAAATGAATATAATATCATATAATCATATAATCGCTGGACCATGGTATAAAAAATGAACACATAAAAAAGTGAACATTTAGTAATAAAAAATGAACAAGTAAAAAAAAATGAACATTTAGTAATAAAAAGTGAACACAATAAAAAAAATGAACATTTAGTATATTAAAAATGAATATTTATCACACAAACAAAGAATAAATGGACCAAACCTAATAAAATGAACATTTCATAAAAATATATGAACACATTAAATAAAATGAACACATAAAAAAAATTATGAACATTTAATATATTGAAAATGAACATGATTTTCATACATCAATTTCATTGTATACAATTAATAACGAAATATGAAAATAAAATAAATCGTTAAAATATGTTTATTTTTTATGTACTAAATGTTCATTTTTAGTGTGTTAAATGTTTAAATTGTACTAAATGTTCAATTTTAAAGTATTACATGTTTTTTTTTTTTTTTTTTTTTACAGAAATTTTACACAAATTTGATTGTAACTATTTACACTCTAAAATTTTGGCTATCCACCTAAATTAAATTTAATCTTAGTTCATCATAAAGACAATAATTATCGATCTATGACATGATAAAGTAGGAATTACAAATGCAAATTTGATAGAAATCAACGATTTTATAACATTCATATATTAAAAAATAAAAAATGAATATCACCTACCAATTTAGATCGCGATGAAGATGATGACGATGGAGATTTCTACAATGGTGACGAATCGCAGATTGCCCAAAGTAGAAGGACAAATAAGTTTAATGATTGAAGGAAAGTGAGGTAAGAAAGAAAATTAACTTATAAGGAAAGGAAAAAAGAGGAGAGAGAAAATTTCGAAATGAGAAGATAACAGCGGAGAGAGAAAATTAATAGCTGCTAGAAAGAAGAAGAGAGGGAGTTAAAATATAAAGAAAAAAAAAACGTATGTTCATTTTGAAGCACTGTATGTTCATATATATGGCTGATGCACTAATATGTAGCTAAGAATTTGCAAATAGAAATAAGTACATATGGCCATATGGGTAGAGCTATCAGATCAAGTCCATGATTGATTATGGATCGAATCAATCATGTCGCTTCATTTCTATCAAATTACAGTCGAATTGAATTAGTTTTTTGGCAACTCGGCCTCTAAAATGTCAAGAGGAGCTCGAACCCTATGTAAATGTAATAGGGGTGAAAAATGAGAAGAGCCACCAACCTACTAGTCCACTTTTGTTTTCTCCCTAATAAATGTAACATTTCACACAATGACTACGTCTAAGGTCTAAGATAAAAGTAGTACGGGCCCAACTATGAAGATTCTAGAAAGTAAAACACACACACAAACTCTTACTCAACTAAAAAATTCTTGGTGTAAATATAATGTCATTAAGAAAGGGACAATCAAATAGCAACAATTGAGAAACGGTCGTTTTAATGGTGCAGCATCTTCCTTAGGAAATGGTCTTCTAAGTTGTTGCTTATTTTTAATACACTTTAGACAAATAAGGCTACCATATCTTTTTAATTTTATAATTAATAATATTTATTACTACAATTGAATTAAAACATAATCTATTTTATCACGCGTTTGTCTCCAACCTTTTGATATACGAGTATTCTAATTTGATTTCAGCCAAGTTTGACAATAATTGGGTTGGCATAATTTAGCTAGAATTTCTAAAAAGCTTACAGTAATCAATTTCCACTCCAATGCGCTAAATTTTTTCTCATATTCAAACTAATTATTATTTCCATCGTCCATTTTTGTTTGTCCCTTTAGTGTATGTTTACTATATTTATTCTTAGATTTTGGATAGGTAAAGTTGATGATAAGTAAAAGTAAAAATATTACATATAAAAGTAAAGCAGTGAGTCTTTACGATATTTGATTATGATATTGGACAAATTAAAGGGACAAGCTAAATAGAAAATTAGAGTAAAGTTAAAGAACCAATTGAGTATCTACTCTCTATATCTTTTATAGCTGCAGTCTATTTTAATTGGAAAGGTTACTACAATTTTTAATTGGTTGTTGATTAGAGCATCAAAGACTTTTATTTTGCAAGACTAGTAGCAAGTTTATTTGTTGTGTCAGAAACTTTCATATAAGTCATTTACTTAAGGGTTACTAGGTAAGGGTGTAAGACTCTGCTTATCTGGACTTATTTTCAGTTTAGTTCTATTCAGCTTAACTCAACTCACCTTAAAAAAAAAATAAGGCCTAACTTCTTTATTTTGTAAAAACTGCGTAATTCATATTACATATGAATTTTATATTAATCAAACAAGCAAAAAAATAAAAAAATAAAAAAAAAGTGCTTACTAAACCTAGAATAAAAAGTGAATTTTCACCCAAAATAAAGTGGATTTTCTAATGATCTTCCCCACCTCTTTTTGTGTTTAATTTTTGGCTTTGAGCCAGGTGCTGTTCAATGTACATCCCAGAGCAAATCATTGATTTTAGAGCCAAATCAATCATTTTAACACTCAATAAATCCACTGAAAAAAGCTAATCCAGTCAGATTTTCAGATGTATTTTTATCTAAAATAACAAGGAAATCATCAAAAGTTTAAAACCAATGCAACAGTTTCAGAAAAATAAAAACCCTTTTCTTTCACTGTTAATTACTGTAATTTTATCAGGTTGTATACAATTATACAAATACAACCTTTAATTATAATCTAATTGTACAAATTAAGCACAAACTTTTTGACTAGCTAGGGATAACCAATACGGCAATACCCTGCTAAAAGCACTAGTCAACATATTTTATCTTAATTCATGTTTAATTTTGTATTAAACATTTTCTTTAGACATTATACTATATCAAACTCCCTACTGTACAACAATGATCTCACAAAAGTGAACAAAATTTTTAGCAATAAACATAAGTGGTAAATCCATCTTTACCGTATGTGTATATCGAGTCAAGTCGAGTCGAGCTTAATAGCAACAAATTGGGCATCGAATGAGCCCGTTCTCATTGCAATCAGGACACCTTTGAAATCCATAATCATCCTCTTCATACTCTTCATCATCATCGTCGTCTTCTTCGTGTTCATAGTAGATTTTACAACTACCCGAGCACGTTTTACATGGCACGAACCTTATATCGCCACAAGCCTCACACACGTCCACTAGGTTACCACCATCATCTTCTAGCCTTTCACAATGTGCTACAATTTTCTTAAGCTTACCATCTTCGTGCATTTTTCGTATTTCATCAATTCCACCAATGTACCTTTCTCCAATAAACACCTTAGGCAAACCACCCTTAAACCCTTCGCCTAATAGCTCCTTCAACTCCTCCTTGAACCCCGAGTGCATCGATACATCCCTCTCATCCACCCGAACTCCTAATCCTTTTAGGATAAGGCGAACATAGCAACAATTTTCGTATGTTCCCCTCACTCCTCGTAAACTAGTGAAGTACAAAATCACCCGTTCTTTAGTAGGATTGATAACTACATCATAAGTTTCTTCCCCATTACTTTGAACATAGACACAATCCGGTGAACTCGACATATCATCCTTTTCCTCGGCTATAATCCTGTCCACAAAGCCATTAACATGAGCATAACCATCATCATCTCCACTCGAATTGTCGGCGACTTGCAATCCCCCATCATCCTTGATCAAATTCTGCTGTTCGCGAACACCATCACGAGCCTTAAGGTGAAAAGGGTTTGTAGGAGACAACTCCTCGAGCGCCTTCCTAAACACAGAAATAACTTCGGGATCAAATTCGGACACCAAAGCCTTCGAAATCGAATTCACATTATTATCATCCTTCTCCTGAGCATCAAACCAAGCCTTTACATTCTTCGGGGAATCCATCCTGCTCTTCTGTAACCCTCTAGGAGAATCGACAAGAGGCAGTATCGAATCGACCGAAACATTGAAAGAAAAACTCCTAACATGCTTCTCACCAAGCAGTCTAAGAGGACTAGTATTACTATCTTCAAGACCTTCCATTAATTCACGAACATTGATCGTTTCGGGCTCGCCCGGAGGTGTCCTAATTGGGGTTTTCGGTACAACTCTTGTAATTTTTTCATCAATCATTTTAGACCAAGCTTTTGCCTCAATCATACCCATTGTAAAATCTTTATTTTTCTCAATACCCTCTTCATGATTTTTCCTAAAATCAACCTCCTCCCTCTCAAAATGATCATCCCATCTTTCGGCCCCGGCCGAAAAACTAAGATCAACCGGTTTCTCAAGCCTTATAGAGCCTAAAGTGGAGGATGTGAGTGCTACCATATGGTAGCTATCCCCTTGCTTTTCTGGTGGGTGATGTACATTCATAGAAAAACTTCTTCTACTCATTGGTGAATATTTTGTCTTGCAATGCCGACATTTGGATTGCTTTGAACTCGCACAACCCATCTACAAAAGCTTGTATAAGACGGTCTTATATGTAATACTAAATCGGAGATATAAGATAACTTGGAAAGATTCAAGGATATGATGAAATCGAAAATTGCAAAAAAGGCCTATAAATTCTGCATCAATTAAGAAGGCGAAAACAGAGGAAGAAAACAGAGGATTTTTGAAAGAGGGATAAATTTTATTATTGAGATTGACGAACAGATAAGAAGAACATTCCCTAGATTTAGTTGCTTAAAACCCCAGCTTCAAAATCTTAAAATTAATAAAAATTAAGCAAATGGGTATTATTTTCAGAAAAAAATAATTATCACCAACCCTCTCAAAAGTAGTGTACAAAATTGATAAATTTATTAGAAAATATCATCAAAAATTGAATCAAAATAATTGAAAAAATTTATGCTATAAGGTCATGAATAAAAGAAGAGAAAAACAATGAAGAAGAAGAAAGAGAGGGTAATGAAGTTAGATTCAGATCCATTAATTAAAGAGGTAAGGTAAGAAAATTAAATGCAATTAGTTTCCAAAATTAAAAAACGTACACGTTTTTAAATTGACTTGGAAATTGAAATAAGAACTTAAATGAAGAAAGTTTGAGAAGGAAATAATGAAGATTCTAAATAAAAAAAATTGAATATGGTGGGTAGTTTGTTTTGTGTAACGAGAATAAAAAAGATTACACAAAATAAAAAAAATTCCGAAATTATTCCGAAATCGTGTGTTGTATGGTATGGTAGCAACCCTTTCTCAGAAATTGGCTAGAAAATAGAGGGAAAGGGGATATAAAGAGAAAGAAAAGGTGTAAGGGGATATGGAAGAAGGGAAAATCTTCGATGGAAAAGTTTGAAGAGGATATATATTATGGTTTTTGCTGTCAACGGGAAATTTTAGAATTTAAAATTCAAGTATAAATTATTAAAAAAATTGTAGTGTAAAGTTACAAAAATAATACTTTGACGGTTGTTAAGACGGCAAGTGCGGCAATTATTGCTTGAAAGGCTCCCTCCACTTATTGCTTACGATTTTTTTTTTTTTTTTTTTTTCTTTTTTCTTGTAAGACATCCATTAATCATTACACTCGTTAGATTGTAATTTATCTTAACCCTATCCAATTAATTTTTTAAAACTTAGAGTGCAATTGGGGAATTGCTGGACAAAGTTCTTGATTGGCTAAATTTGTCAATTAAATGGTGTTATCGTAATTAAATTGAAAAATATACCAAATACATAATTAGATATGAAGTGTATTTTTTCGGTGCAATACATAATTAAATACTCTTATTTTTGTCTTTTTATTTAATGTTTTGGAAAAAATATCGAATAGAATTGTATTCAAATCATGTAGAATTTTAAATTTTCTATTTTATTACATAAATAATACTTAATTTGCCAATAAATTATCCAATCCTCGTACCATTATGAGAAATACATAATTTGTATTATATGGGAAGACATTTTCCAATAGAGTTATTTTTGCAAAATATAAAAATAAAATAAAAAAAAATTCGCTTCAATATCTAAACTTCAAATCTTATTCATAATCTCTCTATGTTCTCCCTCGCAAAGTTAAATGTGATTAGTTCACAACACATTACTTTATCTTTCAAATCCACCCTAACAAATACGGCCAAGAAGCGTCATGCTCATTGTGTAATTCACTCAACTCAATTGACTAGCGATGATACTACCAACTTTTTCTATTGTTAAGTTTTTAGATACCAATTTCATTTTGACTATAGATTCACTCTTGTTTAGAGCATTACCTGGTTAGAACAATAGAAATTACACGCAAATAAACTCATTACTAGCCATAATTAATTGCTTGTTTCCTAACAAGTCCTCCTATTGGAGTACAATGACTAAAATGTTACACATAATTTCTACTGTAGGCCTAACAAGTCGAAAAATTAGAAGCACCAAGATATGATGCTTGTTGCTTGATATTATTGATGTGTCATCTATACATTTGTAATAGATTTTGAATATTGTTAATAGTTTTCGTAAAAAAATTAAAAGTGTACATTACCACTTTTGAAAACATTTGAAATTGAGCAAATATTTTTACTGATTGAAAATATTTTGTAATAATTAACACTTGTTTTTACTTATTTTATTTATATTGGTTATTTGAAGTTACATATATTCATTTTCTCATTGATTAAAACTCATCGTTACTTATTTATTAAACCTATCTTTACTTATTGAAACTTACAGAAAATGAATATATTTGATTTGCAGCAAATAACGTTTATAAGGTAAGGAGTTTAGGGCCTAAAGATGGTTTTGTCATGTGTTGGCCTAAGCTCTAGCTAGGCCTGGTAGTGCATATTGAGTCCACTATCTATCCATCATATCGTGCTGAAATTTTTGAAATGATGGTTGTGACATGACCTAAGTCCACATGCCACCATTCTATAACATTTTGTGCTTGTTCACCTAAGTCAATTTATCCTAACTTTTACATTGGAAATCGACATTAATAGAATGATGGAATTAGTACTTAATCAAAACTACAAAACCCACTTAATTAAAATTAATACATGTTCCAACCCCAAACCCGATATTTGACCCGTGGTTGGCCAGGTTTTAATTTTTTTAATCACTACTCCTATAAGACCACAATTAAACGTCAAATACATATGAACCTAATAACGTGGCTGCTCCTATAGCTTACTAAAAAAAAAAAAAAAAAAAAAAATCAATTTGACGTGCTGCCATTTATATTAGCCGAATATCAGGTAAAAGGGCTACCTATTTGAATATTTATATCCAAGTCTAAAGTTTAGGATTAATCATATTTTTTGAATATTTATATCCAAGTCTAAAGTTCTGGATTAATCATATTTTTATGCATGCATTAGATTATATATTAAATTAATTAAATCTAAATAATTAACTAATTGATACAAGTTGATTGAATTGACCATAACAACTAAGGGTGTCCTGTAAAGATGGTTCATGCGAAGGGTTACTTGGGTGGAATGTTGGTCTGCTCAATGTTTCCATCTTTACAAGTGTTGGAACTCCACTAAATATTGCTTAAGCAACTCAATCATTTGTAAATTAATTGATTTTCTCAAAATAAAGTGGATTTATATTATAGTGTGTATAATTTTATTATTTTTTCCTAAGTTGGAATTCTTATGTCTAGGGATTTGTTTGGTTAATGATTTATTATTGGCTTGAATTAGATATATTAATAATTCAAAATTATATAACTATGTAACTTTTAGACTATGATGGATTCATCATGGTTTACAATATATGAACATGATAATAATTTAATAATGTTTCTATTAGGGGAACTCCAACGATGAGAATGTGGTGTAGCTTGCCAAAATTTGAATGACAAGGTCACTTAGTTCAACCATTAGTCCATCTACATCCTTGACCCTTCTTCAAATGAAAATAAATTGTTTCTCATTTTTTCCCTTTTTAGACCCCGTTTTCCTCATATATTTCCTTTTCTTCTAAAATCTTTATTCTTGACTAAGGACATCACTCTCTTTCACTTAGTTTATGCAAATATATCTAACCTCTCCTCGATTTTTCTCCCACTTAGACCCTGTTCACTTCACCTTAAAAAAAATATTTATTAAAAATAATTTCAATTCAGTTAAAATAATTTCAGTTCAGTAAAATTAATTTCAGTTCAGTAAAAATCAGTAACTTTAAAGAAGAAATATAATAGAAATTCAATAAAAATAATGTCAGTTCAGGAAAATAATTTCAGTTCAATAAATTTAATTTCAGTTCAGTAAAAATAATTTAAGTTCAGCAAAAATAATTTAAGTTCAGCAAAAATAATTTCAGTTCAGTAAAAATAATTTTAGTTCATCAAATATAAGGTGAAGTGAACGAGGCTTTAGTTTATACTAATATAACAAATACGAAGTATGTTTTAAAAATTTATTTTTATTAATTTATACTATCATTATTAATTACTTTATATATCTATAAAACATACCATCATCATCATCATCATCATCATCATCATCATCATCATCATCATCATCATCATTATTATTATTATTATTATCATTATTATTATGAAAAATAACAAAAACCTAAAAGTCAACCGAATTACAATAAATTAGTGGGGAGCTGAGATACAATCTGGGCCCCCACCGCTCTAGTTATAGCGAACCCGATCCTGCTAAAGATGTGAGCAGCTGCACGAGCACCAATATCATAAGTCCTATCGAACGCCTGATCCCGCTTCAACAACGCAACAACATCCTTCTCTAATTTCCCCAATGAAGAAAAGGAGAAGGGAAGAAAATCATAGCCAATAGCCCTGTAACGTGCCCCATACTTGTCCCGCTTTCGCTGAGCTGCAACCGACATAACACGACCAGGAACGAAGTCAGACAACCCAAATTGTGTTAAAGGAGAAGACTCCGTTAAGTCAACACACACATCAAGGCCTCTGTCCAGGAATAAGGTAACACATCTGCAGGTCGAAGAGTCTCATCGTTCTCTCCAGTCAACCCAACATTAACCTCCTTTCTTGTAGAAATCCCAGACTGAAAACAAATTTCAACAATGGTATCACGAACAACATTATACCGATGTTTAATACCCTCCATCCCAGCACAAGACACTACATGATCCCCATAAATATCCCCATCAAAGACCCATGAGCAAGCAAAACACGGTGTCAAAACGAATAGAGAACAAAAGAACACCCAACCGGTAGCAAAGAACACAACGATAAGCCTTACCATTCATAGTTTTACCAAAACCTAATATTGGAACCGCTCGCAACCGAGCAGAACTGTGATCCCCCCACTCAGACTTCCATAAGGCAACCTGACGCGGAGATAAGAAGAAAGTGGATTTTGCAAATGCAGTAACCTTCGTGAAATATATATCTGTCAATTTCTTTATGAGTTTGTGGGCAGCGATCTCACTAGGGTTACTCATAAGGTCAGTCTCCACAATCCTATTAAAAAGACTAAGAGAATCATCGAAGGCCGGTCCCGGACCAATAATACCAGAATTGCGAAGAAGCGTAGCCTAAAAACCAGTAGACTACAAACGCGACACAAGGAAAGCATAGTGTCGAACATCACCCGTTGAATAAACACCCAGTCCTCCATAAGCACAAGGTAAGGTGGCAAGTCCCATTTCCAATCACCAAAACCAGGCCCCGAAGCAATTACAATGCCCTCCAAAGAAGCCCGAAGGGCCACATCAAAAGAAAGCTGGGCCGCTTCAAAAAGACGAGGGGGACAAGTGCGCATAGTAAAGTAGAGTTTAGAAACCCCAGTACACACACGAATCTGTAACAACTCACATTTGGGATCATCAAAGTTAACAACAACATCCATTAGCACAAAGGTCTTTGACACTCTCTGCGAAACAAGCTCACCACAAAAAGAGGAATCCGCACTGACTCAAGCACCAAGCAACTTAACACCATGCATAGGACGAGCAATATCAGGAGGAAAGACACCTACAAGACGGATACGTGGGCTAGAAAACTTCCGTTTTCTCAACGTTTACGTGGAGGCCGAGACGAGATCCCTCCACCAAAATCAACTCCATAACCTTTCCTACCACCAAGGTGTCACCAATAAAAGTATCGTTGTAGACACCTGATTGTGCCTCCCCAAAAACCAATCCCAGTGATGAGTACCTTTCATGTCTTTGATTAACGATTTCTGTAAAGAGTTGAAGAGTCACGTGAAGTTTCTTTAAGCCATGACCATAATTCTAACCTTTACCAAAATGTTTTAATTCAAAATTATTCATTTCGTGTCCTTAAACCGAATATCATTCATTTCGCATCCTTAAAATTATTCATTTCGTGTACAACTCATAAAAACATCCAAACCAGATTATTTTAGTCCATAATCTCGAACCAATTGTTGCTTAGTTATATGGGGTTTGAAAAAAGCTTTCCAACAATATATATAAGCTCGAATATGACTTCAAACGAATAAGTTATGGTCAAAATACTAAACCAATCCTAAACCGAGCCTAGGTCCACCTTACCTACGACCCATTGATCATGTGAGGGTCTAAATACCATATTCTAAATCCTGAATCAATTAGGATTCTTTAGTAACTTCTAGAATTCTTTAGAAGGTTCTAATCTATCCTTTACGAAAAGATAAAGATCAAAAGAGTTCGAGATCGAATAAAACTTCTCATATGATAGTCCTTATCCCGTTCAAAATAAAAGGCGTCCGGATATATTTCATAATCTAATTCTATTAGAAATAAAATTATGTACGGCTTTATCATCTTCAGAA